ACCATACATAAAAAAGGCAGCTTCCATAAATGCGACAATTATAGAACTATCTCTCTTATATCCCATGCCAGCAAGATAATGCTAAATATAATCAATGAAAGACTGAAAACAATCCTTCAAAGAGAAATTCCACAAAAGCAAACTGGATTTACCAAAGGTAGAGGCACTCGAGAACACCTGCTGAATATAAGACAGATAATCGAGAAATCTAGGGAATTCAACATCCCACTATACATCTGTTTTTTAGATTACCGTAAAGCGTTCGACAGGGTCAAGTGGAGACACTTCTGGCGAATACTAAAAGACGTAGGCGTACCACAACATCTAATTACGCTTATAACCGAACTATATGAACACACTACTGGATCAGTTAAAGTACTTGACACACTTTCGAACGAGTTTCATTAAGAACTGGGTGTCAGACAAGGATGTATACTATCTCCACAATTATTCAACATATATGGGGAGTATATTATGCGAAGAGCACTTGAAGGATGGGAAAAGGGCATCTCAATAAATGGTCATAAACTAAACAACCTACGTTTCGCAGATGACACAGCCCTTCTTGCAAATAGTCAAGCAGAGCTGATGGAACTTATACGACTGATAGAAAACGAAAGTCAAATATTTGGTCTGCAATTAAACATATCAAAGACAAAGATCATGATAGTGGATAGACTACACAACAATCATCCACACATAACCACAATTGACCGGTTCGAGGTTGTGAGCTCATACTTATATCTGGGATCATTAATCACAAACACGGGGTCATTACAAGAAGAGATTAAACGTAGATGTGATCTAGCAAAAGTTGCCACAGCAAAAATGACCAAAATATGGAAGGACTGTCAAATTTCAAGAGCAATAAAGATGAGGTTGATCAACTGCTTAATATTCCCAATACTGACCTACGGATGTGAATCTTGGACTCTGAGACAATCGGAGAGAAGAAAGATAGACGCCACTGAAATGTTCTGTTGGATACGAATGTTACGAATTCCTTGGACCGACCGTAGAACAAATAATTCAATTTTAAGAGAGCTAAAAGTTAGCCAACGACTCTCTAGTAAAGTCCATCTCCAACAATTAAAATATTTTGCGCATGTTATGAGAGCAAACACAGAAAACATGGAAAGACTTATAATACAAGGAAAGGTAGAAGGCCGAAGATCACGAGGAAGATCCCCAACAAGATGGATAGATCAAATTACAGGAATATGCCAAAGACCTATGCATGAATTAAAAGAAATGACCAGAGACAGATATCTCTGGAGACGGACAATACTCGACATCACGTCGACTACTACTCTCCTCCTGGGGGGTCAGGATTGAAGAGAGAAAAGTGCGTTTCTTCATTTACATGTATTTGAGTCTTGAGCTACTTTTTTACAAAAAATACATTAAAACATAAAGGGGCGTTTCCTTTATTACAGTGGAACCTCGATTATCCTTCTCTCCATTAACCGTTTATAGAAAATGTCGCACCGAGAGTGCAGTACGGCTAATATAGGAATGCACAATTGCCGGATTTCACGCCTTGTGCTTGGCGATACAAAGAGATCCAAGTGGTAGTCACAGAACCGTACCCAGATCTCTACGCCGGGCTCTGTTATTTATTATAAAATAATATATTGATAAAATAATTGCCTTCAAGTGGCCAAATAAGAGGCATGAATTTGAATAAAAAGACCTTAAGTTTTTAGCGAGAATTTTATTATAAAACTGTATACTTTATCGTATATTTTGCTCTGTGACGCGTGCGAAACCGTCGTCGATCAACTGGCGTACCTCGTCGTTTTTAAAAGTGGTATTATGGGTACCTACATATCGCTTAACTTGATTCCACACCATTTCTATAGGATTCAATTCGCAGTGATATGGAGGAAGCCTTAAAATATAAACATTATGTTGTGAAGCATACTCATCAAGATGATACTTATCGTATTGATCTTTAAAAGCACGCGCTGCTTCTAATAGCTCGGATTTCAAATAACACTCCTCGAAAAAAATGTCTTTTTCTACTAGCCATTCCTTGATTGCAGCTTTATTCCAGGAATTGTTAGGGAATCTCTCTTTACGGGAGTGGTACGATGCATTGTCCATTACAATGACATTCCTGCGACCATTATTTGGTAAATTTGATATTAATGTCTCCTTAAACCACGACTCAAAATATGCGGCATCCATTTCATCGTGATAGTCGCCATCATTTTTCTTTGCCAGAAAAACACGCTGTCTGCCAGGAAGGAAACCTCCTGAAAAACCTGCATGCAATAAAACATATCGTCGACCTCATTTTTTAAGCCAGTACTTAAACCTTTAAGAAAAGCATCACGACTGTTTTGTATCGTAGTATCGCAACATTCGTAATTTATAGATTGGCCAACATTAACCCACGATTCGCCCAAATATATGATATTGCAATGGTCTTTTCGCAAACGTCGTATAGTTCTCAAATAATTATGGCGCCAATGAATAATATACTCTCGCTCCACCATGATGCTTTTTCGGCCACGAAGAGACAACGGCTGTATATTCTCATTACCTTGTATGAAGTTATGTATATGCTTTAAGAATGGCGGCAAATTTTTCATGAAAAATTCACAATGAACAATTCTCCGTAGAATACTTCTTACACCCTCGTCATATGTGAATATTCTAGACTTTGATTGACACACTCGTTTTTTACGTTTTTTTGGCGATTTCAACGTTCCACTCTGTTCTTTTTCTTTTTTGAAATTGTAAATGCTTCTTTCGCTAACACCAGTCATCAACGAAGTACGTCTTACAGCAGCACGTACATTAAGTTGTTCCATATTTTGTAAAAAGCACAACACATTTAACACTACGAGTTTAGCGCAACCGTTAAATAATTCACCGGATTTAAACTTATGGGACTCTAAATGTTGAAGTGTAGTTTCGTTTTCCAAAAGCACCCCCCTACCCATTCTTAGGATGGGTAGGGGGTGAAATAGGGAAAGCTTGGAGTTTATCAAATACTAATTATGACAAACAAGTTTATGGCCATATTTAGGTGATTATGTTAATGATGGTAATTTGTAGCAGAAGTTTTACAAAAGAAATGAAGACCTATTTATAGAAACAACCTAACTGTATTTTTAATATTTTACATACAATAGAAAAAATCTAATTTCTATGAAAGAATTGGAAATTTGAATATTATATATAATATCTATAAATAATATCATTTCCAAGTTTCCAAATTCTTTCCTAGAAATTATGTAGGTTTTTCTATTTTATGTAAAACATTAAAACTACAGTTGTATGTTATTCTTGTAAAGAGGTGTTCAAATGTTACTCTTATGAATATGATTCAATTGTATATCTCATGTTGACGTTTTATATGCAAAATTCATATTTTTCGTTGTCAATAACTCATCAATGCCTTTTTTATTCTACTGTATACGTATACATGATATAAAATATTTTACTCGTACTGCCGGCAGATGCATTTTATCCAAGCCGGTCCTGTGAGACAATGAGCAATCAACAGCTGGAGAAAACCGACAACCCTGCGCGTTTATTCTCCATAAGAAAAGCATTGCCGTATCTTACCCGCACTGCACTCTCAGTGTGACATTTTCTATAGGCTTGGGCATAATAGTTCATCATAAAGAGCGCTCAGTTTAGTTCAAATGTGAGAAGTGAACTAGGTCGCTCTTTTAGTTCATTAACTCAAAGAGTTACTAAGCATGAGAGATTTATTTACACATGAGTAAAATGTAAGATTATTTTATCTTTTGTACATAAGTTTATTTTTGATAACGCCGATTTTAATTTATATTAGCATTACAAATATTTTATTACAAAATTTATTATCGTTTTTTTTAAGAATGTGGTCAAAATCATTAATAAGAAAATAACGGTCAAATTAAATAGTATTTATTTAAAAAATAAAACCAGTACTCTAGCACAATTTATAAGAAAGTAGCTAAAATTAATACATTATGAAATAAATTTAAATGACTTATTTTACATATTTGTATGTAAAAATATTAATTTCGAAACTTTAGTTTATTTACTATATTTTAAAAGAGTTCTACGTTCATTTATTATTTGACCTGTGCCAGAAAAAAATCCGTACATATGGCATAGAAGTTGCGACGACACAAAATCGATTTAAAATTAACGAGTATAAATTTGGATAAACCTTTTTTCTCTGGTCCCACCATTCTAGTGGATTGCTTTTTCTATCTAGATAGTCCTCAAATAAATATTTGTCCAACTCTATAATGTCAGCCATTTGTTTATTTTCTGGTCTAATGATTTTTATAGTTTCCTCATCATAGTCATCCCAAATGCTCTTCTACTGGTTTCTGTCTTCACTCTCTGTAACATTTATGTTTACATTGTTTGTAACCTTTTCTTGATTAACTTCCGGCAAAGATGCAACCGCAAGTTTATTTCGAAGTCCCTGTAATGCCTTCTCGATAATGCTTTGACTTATGTAAAACCTCGATTTCTAAACCTTGGGTCCAAAATAGTACACTCTGCAAAAAGCTCATTATCTTCTATATTTTGAAATCGATTTCTCATATCCTCTTTTAAAACATCTAATAATGCGGTCACTTTAGGATTGTCTGTAGAACTTTTTGTAAAAATTAATCAATAATTTTACAAATCACAATAACTTTTGATAATGTTACATTTTTTTCGGAACAAAGTTCTGTTGTTACTTCATAAAATGGTTCCAGGAGCGGTAGTACCTCTTCTATAATGTCCCAGTCGTCTTGCTGCATGGAAAGGTGGTTCCGCAAAAGGGCTGTAGTTGTAATAAAAGCATCTTTTATTTTAAATATGCGCTCTAACATTTCAAATGAAGAATTCCAACGAGTTGAAACCTTTTGTTTCAATTTTAGAAGTGGTAAGTTCATTTGTCTTTGGGCATCTTGTAATTTACGTAGTCCCCGAGTACTTCTTTTAAAATATTCTACAATAGATTTCACCTTTGCAAGAGTATCTGATATTGTCCGTTTTTATTTCTGAACAACCAAATTTAATGAATGTGAAAAGCACCTAACCGATGTCCAATTGTCCATTTTAACAGTTAATAAAATATTTGGCACATTATCACTTAAAACAGCATCTATTTTGTGAGAAATTTGCCATTCTTGTATTTTGTTTTTGAGGAAATCTAACATGTTTTCAGCAGTATGTCTTTCATTATATTGGATGTAGCCTATCGTAAAAGAACAAAGCTTTGATTGTTCGTCAATATAATGAGCTGTTACAGCAATGTAACTTTCATTAGAGCGGGATGTCCATGAATCAGTAGTAAGGTACATGACTTTTGCGTTATTTAACTTTATTTGTAATCCTTCTGCTATTTGCTGATGCGTTTTTATGAGCAAATTTTCAGACGATTTTTTTCTATATTGTAATTGATAATTTAGACAATGAGATACCATTTTAACTAATTCTTTAAATTCTGTTTCTTCGACCATTCTTAATGCATGCAGAAAAAAAGTCTTTTGTTATGCAATGAACTAGCAGATTTAACTGCTCAATGTATGGGCATGTTATTTGAGCAAAGGTTTAATTTATTAAAACATCTCAAAACACTGTGGGCAATGATCCTGCTGTTCAACTTACACCTATAGATGTTACAGACGAAAATGACACGCAAGTGATTATTGACAGTAACGATGAAGTTGTATTTGAAAGTGAAAATATGCTGTGTGGTGAGGTGGTTCGTCAAGAGATAAGTAGGGTATATAACGTGGAGGGGAATATACAAGAGTCAATTCCAGAAGATGAGCTTCCTATTACTCACCAAACTCTTCAAGTGAACGATGTTGCTTTATCGACAATTAAAATGCCATTGGCAGTAAAGAAAGGAGGACGCCCAAAAGGACCAGGCAGACAGCAATAGGACTGCCAAAGAAAAAGAAAAGGAACACCAAAACATTTACAAATAAATCCAGGGTTCCATTCCAAAGAAAGGATTAAATTTCTATAATTAATTTATCATTACCCGTAATTAAAATACGTTTTAATAGGTTTGTTCTAGCAAACAGACAAACTAGTCAGAAACCGTCAGCAAACAGTTGGTCAGCGAGAGAAAATAATACAGTCACCAGTGCTATATCCCCTCTACTCGCACTGGTCCACTATTCGCTGATGGTTTCAAACCATTTGAAACTGATGCTAGAACAAACCTAATACTTCACTTTGTATTCTTTTTCGTTTATAAGAAAATCTAATATCAATAAATTCTTTATCAGAAATTGATACTAAGATTAAGATGACCAGCCTTCAAGCGAACGGCAGCCAAAGAAAATGCCGTCAACTCATCATAAAAATAACGCCATAGCTGTTAAGAGCGTAGGCGCAAATTTTAGATGAAGCGAATCGGCACCGACTGTCCTATCCCTAGTTTATCTTTCTTTACACAGCAAATTACGTGTAGTTAAATTCTCACTGGTATGAAAGCTTTAAAACGGTAGGTATCTTGTTTATCCAGAATCGGCTTAGCACATGTATATCTGTGAAAAGCTGTGTTGTATAGGTATTGCTCAATTAATTCATAAAGACTTTATTTATTTCTTTATTTGCGTAAATTAAAATATGGGACGTTGTTACAAGAAATGTATTAGTGTAAAACGAAGAAATAGACGGTTAGCTCAATTGAAAGTACTTTTTATATAAATTAAATTACTTTTGTATTTTTCTGTAAAACTGATTTGTAAATATATAGTGAAAATGTCATTTATAAAATCGATCAGTAAACCAAGAATTTTTTCTTTACATTTTATTTTTCTTTAAAGGAATAAACTATCTGTTTGATTTTTGTGGATTGTATGTTTGTCGTTATCACTACTAGCATTGTAGTAGAAGGTTTACATGTTAATACACTATAAAGAAACTGTAGGTACTAAGTAAGTAATACATTCATTTGTTTTTAAAATTATTTAATTTGGAATATTATAGACGAGCACGATATTCTTGAGTGGCGGCTCAAAAAGTAGCAGAGATATTTATTAAGTAAGCCATACTTTTAATTTTTTTAACATGAAATGAATACGATTTTTCTATAACAGTCAATCCCGTATTTTCGAAGAACTTGCCAAGGAGAACATCTTCTTCTTCTTTGAGTGCCTCTCCTATCGGAGATTGGATATCATTATGGCGATTCTAATTTTATTTACTGCTGTTTTGAATAATTCGTTAGTGGTACAGCCAAACCACTCTCTTAAATTTCTCATCCAGGACATTCTTCTACGGCCTGGATTTCTGCGTTCTTGGATTTTTCCTTGCAAGGAGGAGAACATAATTAAAGAACATTCAGCTACTACGTAAGTTTTTTTTACCAAATATAAAATGTAGTAGCAGTAAAAAGTACAGTAAACTTTTAAACATAAATAAATAATTTATATGTCTTTTAGACAAACTACTTCAGATTTCATATTACAAGGAAGAAGAATTGTAGATGTGCAATATTTTATTAGGCAAATACTGCAATTCCCTCACCACAGATTGTTCAATTGCTTCCGGAAGATATTACAGTAACTAGTGAAAGTTTTTTTGAATGAGATATATGAGATTAAAAATCACACTAAATTTTCTCTTGTTTTTCACCCCTGTAACTAATTAAAATAAACATTATATAAGTTTTCAGGGACTTTCGGCCCTCGGTAATGATGTAATCTTTTATTATGCGTTTAAATTTTTGAAAAATATTTATTAGTTTTCTCAGGATTCGAAAAAAATGATTGCATTTAAAAAGCATTGGCCCGAAATTTTGCGCCTACGCTCTTAACGGCATTATTGTGCACGACCGTTTGACGGCAGTTTAAATATAGCGTTTTTTTAACCATTAATAAAAAGGAACTTCACAACAATATAATTTTGTGTTATTAGATTATATTATATATGTTATTTCATAAAGAAAGTATCATTTTTTCAATTTTTGATTCAGAAAATTTGTTTATCGATTGAAACGAACAAACATAGTTTTATAATTCATTTGCAACAGAAACTTCGAACAGCTGGATTTAATACTAATCAACTTCATGAATGATAAAAGGAAAAATGTCTGAGACAGTCTTCTAATCATTGAAAATAAATAATACATGAGCTCTAATCCCGTAAAAAACGTAAAGCTTTTCATTTCGTTTATACTAAAATTAAATTTCATTAAATATAGAAATACTCATCATTCCTTTTCTTTTTAAATGAATATGGATAACTCAACAAAAAAATTATACAGGGTGGTCCTTAAGTAATTGTACAAACAGAAACCGTAGATTTTAATAAAATGTTAATATTAAGAAAGATACAGGGTGTTAAAGTAGAAATTTAAAATTTAATTTTTCGCTATAACTTTTATGTTTTTAAATAGTTTTGGACAAACATTTAGAATCGGATGCTTTTGAGTAGGATAAATTATAATTTTATACACCAATTTGATGTAACTGATAGAGGGCGCCACATATGGCACATGTGTGGCATAAATTTGCGCTTAACTTTTTTGCTCTTTAAGTTAACTCTATTTGTGTTAAAAAATATTAAAGATACATTATTTTTACATAGAACAGGTATACTTGTTAGTAACCTTAAAATTTAACTGTTTTAGAGATAATCGCATTTTATAAGTCAGCTGCATAATAATTCTTTTTTTTTTTTTTTTTTTTTTTTTTTTTTTTTTTTTTTTTTTTTTTTTTTTTTTAATTTATAATTTCCGCATCAACCATTAAAGGTTATTAGCGGGTTTTACAGATTTTACAGTTGTTATTACAAATTGTTATAACAAATTACACATAATAAATTACAAATTACAAAGAGATACATATAACTTAAATTTTGTGTAGTAAACGTATGTCCTTAAGGAATTTGATTGTATTAGATACATTACTGTTTAAAATATCTTTAAGTTTCTTTGCTTCTTCTGGTACGTTGTTGATGGCTCTTTCGTAGGAATAAAGAGGACATTCAATCAATACATGTTGAACAGTTATTGGACATTCACAATAGGAACATTCAGGTGGTAGTTCTTTTGTTATGAGATGCTGGTGAGTTAACGCTGTGTGTCCAATTCTTAGTCGGTTTATAATCACTTGTTGCCTTCTGTTTTCTGGAAATTGTAGTTTAGTGCCAATCCTAGTTTTCACGTTTTTAAGGTTAGTCTTAGTAGAATTCCACATTTGTTGCCAATTTTTTACACAGTGCTGTTTAATATTGAGCTGGATATCACTGAATGGAATTGTAGTCATAATTTCAGTTTGCTCGTCAGTAGCAGCTTTCTTTGCTAATTCATCTACTTTTTCATTTCCTGCGATACCTGTATGTGATGGTACCCAGAGAAATGTAACGTTAACGTGTCTGTTTTGTAGGTGATAAAGTGCTAATTGTATTTGTTGCAGGATAGCATGTACTGGATATATTTGCTTTAAGCTCTGAAGAACAGATAAAGAGTCAGTAATGATAAGAAAATCTGAGCTTGCATGACTCTTACACATGTCTAAAGCCTTTAAAATGGCAATTGCTTCTCCCGTGAAAATGCTGCAGAATTGAGGGATGCGAACTGCATATTCAGACTTTCCTAGAATATAGGCCGCTGCGTGTCTGTTTTCAGTTCTTGACGCATCGGTAAAAATCTTGTTATGGCCAGTGTATTCTAATATCCGTTCTTGATATAATTTGTTAATGATTATGGGATTTGTGGTACTCTTTGGATAGGCCGTGAGGGATAGATCAATAGTGGGGAAATTAATAGTCCAGGGAGGTATAGTTCGTTGTGTAGGGTAAGAATGTGTGAGCTGTTCCATGTCAAAACCGTATCTCGTTAGACGTTCTTTAAGGGGTGGATATTTAATTTGTTGATGGCAATGAGTAGGTGGATATATTTTATAAAGAAGTGGATAATTTGTATTATTAGGGTTGGAAGACAATCTCGCGGCATAATTTAAAGAAATGTGTTGTCTTCGTATTGATAGGGGAGATTCATTTAGGATAACCTGAAAACTTGAAACAGGACTAGTTCGGTAAGCACCCAGAATTAGTCTTAAACATGTGTTTTGTATAATGTCTAGTTTTTTAAGTATATAATTACTCGCAGTTGAATAGCATATTGCACCATAATCCAGTTTACTTCGGATTAATGATTGGTATATATGCAGCAATTTTATGGTGTCCGCTCCCCAAGATCGGTTTGATAGCATTTTAAGGAGATTTATTTTAGATTGGCAGGATACGACCAGCTTTTTAATATGTTCTGCCCATGTTAACTGACTGTCCAGTCTTAGACCAAGAAAGTCAATGCTCTCTACTTGTTCTAGGTTAATACCATTTAGAGTAAGTGTTGTTTTGCAATCAGTTTTTCTTTTATTGAATACGATGAAACGAGATTTATTACCTGAGAACGTAAAACCAGTCTTTTGGGACCAGTCTTCTAGTTTATGCAGAAATG